AAGCCAAGACAAGACATCATCCCTACTGCTCAAAATCTGTAGTTTAGGCCAGGTTCAGTGGCTCATGCCTATGCCTGTAATCCCAGCTTTGGGAGGCTGAGGCAGGTGGCTCAACTGAGGCCAGGAGTTTGAGATCAGCCTGGCCAACATGGTGAATCCCTGTCTCTACTAAAAATACAAAAAAAAATTAGCCAGGCTTGGTATCGTGCTCCTGTAGTCCAAGCTACTCGGGAGGTTGAGGCAGGAAAATCGCTTGAACCTGGGAGGTGGAGGTTTCAGGGAGCTGAGATCATGCCACTGCACTCCACTGCATTCCTGCATGGGTGACAGAGTAAGACTCTATCTCAAAAAAAAAAAAATCTCTAGTTTAGTGGAGGAAGACAAAGGCAGACATATGCAATACCAGGACCAAAGCAACGAGTTCTTAAACATTCTGTGCTTATGCAGCAAATAATTAAATGCCCTTCCATTTGTCAGTTATTCATGTTTTCTTTCTTTTCCTTTTTTTTTTGTTTTTTGTTTTTTGTTTTTTGAGAAGGAGTCTCACTCTGTTGCCCAGGCTGGAGTGCAGTGGCACAAGCTCTGCTCACTGCAAACTCTGACTCCCAGGTTCAAGCGATTCTCCTGCCTTAGCCTCCCAAGTAGCTGGGATTACAGGCACATGCCTCCACACCTGGCTAATTTTTGTATTTTTAGTAGAGATGGGGTTTCACCATATTGGCCAGGCTTGTCTCGAACTCCTGACCTTGTGATCTACCCCGCTTGCCCTCCCAATGTGCTGGGATTACAGGTGTGAGCCACTGCACCTGGCCCAGTTATTAGTATTTCAAGCCCACTTAGCCTGTCCCAGCCTTGTCCCTACTGCCTCATAGGTCAGCCCTGGCAGCACAACTGAACTCATATTGCCGGAGCCCAAGCTGTGTTATTTACTAAAATCTGTCCAGTTGCACTAAGGAGAAAATGACAGCTGGCAGTTGGGAGAATGGACTGGCTGGTGTAAGTTGGGAAAAAGAGACACAGGTGGCAGGTGTCTAAAGGAGCAGAGCTGGGGGTGTTTGGAGAAGCCCAATCCCGAATGCCACTTCAGCTTCAAGCAACCACAGCTTCAAGGTTCCGGGAAGGAAGGACAAGCGCGGGTGTGCACCAACCACCAACCTCCTCCCAACGAGCCCTGAGATAATGAATGAGCGGTCAGCCAGCGTCTTTGCTGTCTGATGAAAGGACCTCCCTGCAGACTGTCCCTCTGCAAATACAATTGTGCCCCAGGAACCATCTGGCAAATGTGCCAGTTCCTTCAGCATTTCTGGTATTTCCCTGACTTGTGGCCCCTTTTTCTCTGGGATATAAATTGTTTCAGCAAGCCAAGCTAGGAGAATGTTTACTGATGCTTCACAGGCTTTCCCTGAGCCTGGTTAACCCCACGGCTCACAGCCTCTGAGGCTGCTCACAGCTAACGATGTCTTGGATGCATGTGTTTCACCTCTGCCATTCTTGCATATTTTGGAGTATGCAGAGCCAAGCTTGTGAGCTGCAGCCCAGAGCTGCAGTGACCACATGGAGAAGCTGGGGTGGGGGGAAGTGCATTTCTGTTGCAGGATGCCCTTCACGGAGAAGGGACAGGTTAACTCCATCTCTCTGCAGAGGACTTGGACAGCTCCCCAAGGATCCACAATAAGGCACCCCAGCTGTAGGACAGACCACGTGCTCTGGCTGCACAGGGAAGGATGCCCAGCAAACTGAGACGGCACATGTCAGCCGCTGGGCCCCATTTTGCACAGTGCCATGTTCCTCCTCTGACCAGGCCTGATGGTGGGCAAGGTTGGAGAGTTTTGGGTCACCTTTGGACCCCTTGGGCCAGCACCCCAATTTCAGTCTGCTCCACTTATTTTCATTCAGAGAACAGAGACAGGCAGGTGGAAGGGGAGACTTGATCAAATCACTTGTCTCTTTGGTGATGCACTTGATGGGCAGGGAGGCCATACGGAGCCATCAACCATAAGTCCCCTCACCCCTAATCCAGGGAGGACCAAATTGTTCTAAGGGGCGGAAGAGGAAGGAGCCAATGCAAAGAATTTCAGAATGTCACTGTCACCCTAACGGTGAACAAGTGAGCAGTTCCTATGCAGATTCACACCTTCCTGCCATAGTACATGCAGTTCCTTCTGTCCTGAACACCTCAGGCCTCATCCACCTGGCAGACTCCTACTCAATGTTGTAAGATTCAGCTCCAGCGTCTCCTACTTGGACCCCTTCATGCCACCACATCCTTTGCATCCATCTCTACTTGGTACCTGTCACGTGGCGCCTGCAGTTGTTTTTAGCATGCCTTTTCCAGCCGACATGGAGCTCACTGGAGGCAGAGAACTATGTCTCACTAATCTCCATGTCTAGAGACTCGGGCTGGTTTCTCAGCCATGTTTTGGAAGGAAAAATCAGGGCTTATGGAGTTTGGAGATGGATTCTCCTGCAGAAATCTCTTAGTTCCTCCCATTTGTTTCACAAAAGACAAAACAGAGAGGAGGAAACTGCCTTTCCCAGGGGCATAAGGCGACAGAGCTTTGACAAGAGCCTAGGTCTGCTGGTCCCCCAGGTGCTAAGAAATCAGATCCTGAACTGTATTTCCCCTGCTAGCTGGGAAAGGAGAGCTGACAGTAATGAACAGGCTTCTGGGCCCACTCAGGACAGAGAAAGGTGAGAGGGACACCAATTGAATTGAGAGCTGGAAGGGGTGTCATGGATCATGCAGTCTGACCCTGCATTTACAGATGAAAAAAAATGGAGGCCGATGGGGTGAGGTGCTTGCCCAAGGTCACATAGCAAGCTGGTGAGAGAACTAAGCTGAGAATGCAGGCCTCCTAATTCCTAGGGCTGTGCTGTTGTCCAACTGAATTAACCTCCCACCCCAGAAAGATGGATGACCAAGCCCTCCCAACCAGCTGCTATCCAAGGGACAGATCCCTGGAGTCCTTGACTCTTGCAGGCTTTTTCTTCTCTCTCCTGGTGGTGCAACACTTAAGTAGGGTGCATTCTGCATAAATAATAAAGAATGCTTCCTTTGCAGGGAGGAAGGCCGCGTCTGGGCAGGCAGTGTGACAGATGGTATTTACAATGTGCACTGAGAAGTTCTCACACAGCCTCACTTGGGCTGTGTGGCTGAGAGATGGAGGAAGTGCATTTGAGTGCCCACCGTCTCACTCCCCTGCCTGATGTTCCCAGGCAGTGGCTGCTGCTGTTCCCGCAGCTCCTGCGTTTATGTTCAGGACTGCTTCCCCAGCGCCCACCGCCTCTTGCCACACTGAACATGGAGCTCCAGGATGCCTTGCTGTTGCTGCTGCTGCTGCCTCATCATCAGAAAGCCTGCCTCATGGACCTCACGTCATTCTTCGCAGCAGCCCCTCACTGGAGCAGGTGCTGGGCTGAATTGACCTTCTTCCCCAAAGGAGGCCAACGATGTCCTACGAGACCAGACACTGGGCAGACTTCCCAGGGATTCTGGCCTCTGGGAGGCCTTCTCTAGGCCTGGAGAAGTATAAATAGGACAGGTTCATTCATGGAGCAAATACTTTTTGTGAACCTTCTATATGCCAAGAATCATTCTAGGAGTCAAAGATCCTACTGCAGGCCGGGCATGGTGGCTCATGCCTGTAATCCCAGCACTTTGGGAGTCTGAGGCAGGCAGATCCCTTGAGGTTCAGGAGTTCAAGACCAGCCTGACCAACATGGTGACAACCTGTCTCTACTAAAAATACAAAAATTAGTTGGGTGTGGTGGCAGGCACCTGTAATCCCAGCTACTTGGGAGGCTGAGGCAGGAGGATCCCTTGAACCAGGGAGGCAGAGGTTGCAGTGAGCTGAGGTCATGCCACTGCACTCCAGCCTGGGTGACAGAGCAAGATTCTGTCTCAAAAATATATAATAATAATAATAATAATAATAATACTGCAAACTAACAAATCCTTGCCCTCTTAGACGGTGAGTTCTAATGTCAAGGTTTACCACAGGCCTTGCAGCTAATGGCCCTTGGCTTTGCCAGACTCACACCATTTCTTTCCTTCCACAGAGTCTGTTGGACATGCTGGTGCCTGGTTCTGTGCAGTGGGGAAAAATATCAGATCATTCCCTCTTTTTCTGGGAAGACTGATTGCACACATAGGTTGAGAGAAACAAAGCAGATAAATAGACCAATGGAAGCTTTAGCTACAAAGCCAGAGACAACCCCCAAAGTTTCTGACTCATCCAAGCCTGCTGCTGGACAAGCCGTATTTGTGTGCTGGGATTTAGCCTTGCTCGATTGCCCTGGGAAAGCAGTCTCTGTAGGCAGTGGTCAGCGGCTGGGGCCAAGGGCACTCACTACCATCAGGGGCTTTTGTATTTCACTCTTTAAATAAAAACTTTGGTGAGAGGCATAGAGAATCAAACCTCCCCTGGGCCCAGGAATTTTAGTGTCCCCATTTGTAAAATGGAGGCAATTGTATCTGTTCTGCTCACCTCTGAAAGGCTGGCTTTTTGAGGATGGAATGCAATGGCAAATGCGGAAGTGTTCTGAAATAAAGGCAGCAGGCATACAGGCGTATTATTATCATTCAGAAGAATTCTTTCTCCATAACATAAAAGTTGTCTCTTGTTGCAGGTTGAGAGTAATAACTATATAATTAGACGTTGTGTCATATCAAGAGAGGTATCTTCTGTTTTTCATTAAACAGACATTTGTTCTGTTTCTACTGTGTGCAATGTTGTGCGTTGCAATGGATGCGAAATTGAGTAAGCCATAACCCTCCCCTTCAAGGAATGTATGTTCTGGTATCAGGAAGAGAAAACTTAGAAGATATAATTCAAGGTCAAAAGGAAAAAGGGATTACCTGAATTGAACCTTAGAAAGACTGGGGAAAAAAAAGGAAAAAGGGATTCCGAGGAAGGAGTGGTTCATTTGGGTTAGAGAGTTGAGGAAAGGCTTGTGGAGAACAGAGCATTCATCAGAGAGATGGGTGAGATTTTCTTCATTTATATTTATTTATTTGTTTATTTTGGTCTTCTAGCTATGACATTCCGGCTCACTGCAAACTAGAATTCCTGGGCTCAAGGGATCCTCCGACCTCAGCTAGTCCCAAGCAGCTAGACTATAGGTCCCATGCTACCATACCTGGCTAGGTTTTTTATTTTTTTGTAGAGGCGGGGTCTTGCTATATTGCTCAGGCTGGTTTTGAACTCCCAGCCTCAAGAGATCCTCCTGCCTCAGCCTCCCAAAGTGCTGGGATTATAGGTGTGAGCCACTGTGACTGGCCTGATGGGTAAGACAGAACAGATGGTTTACTGAGGAGACGGGACCTGCCTATAGCACAGTGAAGGTCATGCTGAAGTCTTGGGGCCCAAAGAGAATTCAGAAATGGGATCCTGGGCCAGCCAGGCCCCAAGGAGGTGGCAGGGAAGGAAGGTAAGACCTCGCAAAGTAGCGGATTATTTCCCTGAATGCGTGATTGGCTAAATCCCGGGACTGGGAAAGTTTTTTTCTGTGCTTTTCTGAGCTCAACTTTTGGGAGCCCATGCCTTGCTTTGAAAGGGTTTGGTCTGTGAACCTAGACATCTTTTAGTAATGATTTAAGTTACTCAGAAAACTGGGGGCCCTGGAGTGAAAGGAAGAGACAAAAGGGAAAGAAATCCATGTAGCAGTCTTGTTCTGTTTGATGTGGCAGACAGCGGGCAATAATGGAAGAGCGCTGGAGATGGAGATGGAGGGTGGCTGGATTCTGCCATCCTCAGCCACGTCTGCTGTTTGGACTTGCAGACTTCAAACACAGCTGGGGATTCCTGGAAGACAAAAGAATTCAGGGCCAGGGCTTGGATCTCAGTCAAAAATAACTTACGTCTTCATCTCAGGTAGGCAAACAGCGGCAGCTCAGGGCTGGTTTCTCAGAAGATTGGAGCTACAGGTGGGGACAGGGTGCCACAAAGGTGAGTTTAGGCTGAAGTGGGCTGCAGAGAAGGGCCTTGGAGGGTGTGGGCCTGGCCTAGGGAGATGCCAGAATGAAATCCAAGTGAAAGAACGTTTGGAGAAAAAGCCCCATTTGCCTCCCTTCTGGGCACTGCCATTGCTTTGAGCAATAATTACAGCCCTTCATGTTTCTTCCCTGGCTTCAGCTAATGAAGGTGTCCACAAACAAACTGCTCAGCCCCTTTGCCCTCCTCTCCCCACTTCCAGCAGCTATTCCTGGCTTTTCCACGGCAGCCAAGTATCCCAGCTCCCAGGACCAGAACATCGGGTCCTTAAAAAAGCTCTGGGCGCTGTGGCTCATGCCTGTAATCCCAGCCCTTGGGAGGCCGAGATGGGCAGATCACGAGGTCAGGAGATCGAGACCATCCTGGCCAACATGGTGAAAACCTGTCTCTACTAAAAATACAAAAATTAGCTGGGCGTGGTGGCATGCGCCTGTAGTCCCAGCTACTCAGGAGGCTGAGGCAGGAGAATTGCTTGAACCCAGAAGGCGGAGGTTGAAGTGAGCCGAGATCATGCCACTGCACTCCAGCCTGGGGAAAGAGCGAGACTCCGTCTTACAAAAAAAAAAAAAAAAAAAAATCAAAATTCCTTCCTCTCTTGGAGGGCACATTCGAGAGACTCAACCCCCAAAAGGCTCTTCCCTCTCCCCTCCCCCTTATCCCACTGGACTGCCATTAGCAGTTGACCTCATTTTCTCCCAGGAGGCCAGGGCCTGGGTCTCATCCCCTTTGTATTCTCAGCATCTCGGCCAGCGTCTGGCACATAATGGACACTCACCACGTGTGAGCTGAATGGCACTGTTGAGCTGTCGCCAACTTAATCTTCCTAAAATGCGGCTCCAGTTAGAAGCCATCAGTGCTTCTCTATCTCCCTTTGGGTGAGGTCCAACCTCCTGAGACTGGCACTCGGGACTCTGGCGACACAGTGCTCCTTGCCCACCGCCCACCTGGCATCCTCTCTTCGTGCTCAGCCAGTTCATGGTTCCCAACACAGTCTACGGCTTTCCCACCTCTGTGTCTTTGCCACAGCGGTTCCCTCCACCTAGAAACCCTTCCACACTCTCTACTGCAAGCTTGCCCCGTCTTGCAAGGCTCATCTCAATATCATGCTCCTGCCCTTCTAAACTGAGTTTGATCCACCCTTTCACAGCCCTTTATCCTGCTCTGAGCTGACTTCCGAGTGTCTTGTTAGGAACTTTAAAAGAGGCTCTTAGAAAATGAAGAGCAGGGTAGAGGTGCCAACAGGCCCAGTTCACTGTCACTTCTTATTAGACGACAAAGGTTCTCCCAGGGTAGGGCCTGTGCACAGCCCACCTCCAGGCATTCATGAGTGCTTGCCCACTGCAGCTGGTCAGTGAAAGTGACACCATGCCCATTCCCTCCTCTGCTCCCAAAATGCTGCAGAATATGCCAGTGTTAGGCTGTCTCAGGGGGAGCAGAACAAAAGGTTGTCAGGATGCCCAGCCACTCCTATCCCCTGGAGCTTTCTAGGGCTGGGCCTCAGGCCCCGTGTCCAACTGCCTGCTGGGGAGTGGGTTGCAGATTCACCTGGGGCTGAGGGGCACAGTGTTCTGACCAGCTAGGCTTAGGCGACGTTGAGGACAACAGGTGAAGGGTGGCCCCAGGTTCATGGAGGAGGTTGGATATAACAACTTGTCCTAACAGTCTCCAAGTCCAGACACTCATCACCTCCCAGCAAGGGCCAAGGCAAGGGAAGCCACCTTCTGAAGCAAGAATTCTGATGAGAGATCAGGAATGCCTTCTTAGGAGACTTTTGGGAACACAGTCTGCAAGGCAGGGTAAATGCTCCTAGGGGTAGGAGGAACAAGATAGCCTTCTGGATACACTTCTGATCTTCCCTCTCCCTTTTATTCTAACTGCTGCTGGCCTCGTGGCCCCCTCCTTGGACAGCACCTCTCATGTCCCTCTGCTCAGACCAACCTCCCTCCTGTCCAGATGCCACACTACAGCCAGGGGTATCTTTTCAGTATGACTCTCCTGCTCTCAATTCTTCAGTGGCTCCCCATTGCCCTTAGGTAAAGTCCAAGCTCTTTTCCCATGAAACTCACAGCCCCTCACAACCTTCCCATCCAGGCTGGGGGCCTCTTTAGATTGGGCATCGTGCTCCAGTTTCCAGCCATGCCAAACTGCTTGTCATTTGCCTCCCATATGATGCTGCTCCCCATGCCTGTCTGTGCTGTTCCCTCTACCTGGAACACCTCCTTCACCTTTTTCACCTTGCCTGGTTTTGTTATCCTTTGGGAAGTCTTGCTGACCCCACAGGGACCCCCACCTTTGGAGTTCTATACCCTCTGGGCTTCCCTTGAATCCAGGACTTATCCTTGTGTTCAATGTAACTGTCAACCCAATTATATTTCTGGAGGGTAGAGTTTGGGTCTTATCCACTTCTGTATTCCCAAAGCTGTATCATTGGTACATAGTAGGAGCTTAATACATGTTCAGGAACAGAACTGAGCCTGCTAAGCTCCCTTCCCCATGAAGGGATGCTAGAGTTGGATATGTCGATAAGAGCTGTCCCTGGGCTGAAGAAGAGGCAGCTCCCACCGGCAGCTGGTGTCAGAGCACTGTCCGGGGCAGCTGGGCCCCCAGCAGAGTGGCCAACCCTTTTTTGTGCCCTTCTCCTTCCAGTTCCCTGGGAACCAGGCTTCCTGGCCCACTTCTCTAGTCCCAGAGATCAAAGTAAAACAGAGCCAACACCCATGCAGGTCGTGCAAATGACAGCAAGGGGTACAGGAGGCAGCAGGGCCTCCAGGGCCCCAGGAGTCACTTGTCCTTCTGGGTTTCTCTCCACAAAGGAATTAGCCTCTCTTCTGTCCCCTGAAGCCTGTTTTCAAAATCACACCCCATGCAGACAGTTTTATTTACAAGGAAATCTTGGCAGGATCTTGACTTGTTAGTAGAGTAGGGATGGGGAGGAGGGTGGTGAGAAACAAAAATAGTTGAAATGATCACACTTTCTGAAACAGAGATGAAAATTTGTGTCTGTAGCAAACTCACCTAATTAGAACCAAGTTAATTCCCTTCTCAGTGTTTCAGGGGAGCAGTCATTGCTGGTGAGATGGTCGCAGGTCGGATCCTGGGCACGGGGTTATGTGTTTGCTTTATGAAGATGACTGCATTAATTGCAGCTCTCACTAATGGAAAGGAGCCAGTTTCGGAGAGGAAGGAAGAAGGGCAAACTAGTGAGTGAGTGGGTGGTGGGAAGAGAAAAGGAAGAGGAGTGGAAGGGCACGGCCTTGGTGTAGGCTGCAGACTGACTGTGAGATGCCTCCTGGAGGAGCCCCTGAGCCTCTAGGAAGAGCTGGCCCCTGCCAGGCCGGCCGCTGGCACCGTTTACAGCTAGAGCCTCTGCTTCTGGAGATGGTCTCTTTTGGGGGTGCTTTCCTGCAGGGAAACAGCATCGATTTTTTTCTTTAAAAGATCCCCTACTCCTTTTTGGCTTCCTTTCTGATTGTTTTAGTTCCTTTACCGTCCCTCTCCCCAGATGGGGCACTTCCCTGGGCTTACCTTTGTCCACGTGGTCAAATGAAGCCTGGGCATGGTCACTTAGCTCTGGGGTAGGAAAGGCAAGATTTAGGCTTTGGGGCCCAGGACCCCCCAATCTGACTTCTCCCATTTCTAGGCCTCCCGGGACCTCCTAGAATCTGAGACCGCAGTGAATAGGACGTAAGGATGGTAGCGGGGGATCCCGTCCTTACTGAACGGCGCCCCCATTCACTCCTAGTTAACCCTGACGTCGCCAACTTAGTGAGGACCTCGCTCTGTCTCCATCACACATCTGCCGCCTCCAAGAGACGGTTAAGCAGATGGGAGAGACGAGCCCGGGCCCGGAGTGCAGGCCCGTGGTGACGGGGTCGGGGACCGCGCAGTCCTCCTCCCCGCCCCAGGCATCGCCGCCACTTCCTCGCCAGCTGCGCCGCAGCCCTCCCCCTCTCGGTCCGCGCCGCTCAGACCGACTGGGCCCGGGTGGCGGCGCCCGGGGTGGGGTGCGGGGCGGGGGCCGGCATTCCCCGCGAGCAGCCCCGCCCCCGCCCGCGCACAGCCCCGAGTACTCCGCGGGGAGGAGGAGACTCGGGAGCAGAGCGGGGGCCGCGAGAAGCGGGAAGGGAACGCGGGGAGCGGCTGGGCCGCAGCCGGCCCAAGGGCGCCCTCGCCTCGGAGCCCAGCGCGGGGGCCGGGGCGGAGGCGGAGGCCAGCAGGGCTGCGAGCGCGGAGAAGTTTGGCGGCGGAGGGGCCGGGCGTCCCGGGGTCGCGAGGAAGCTGCTGCTGCGCGGGGACCCGAGCCATGGGGGCGGGGGCGGGCGCAGGCGGCGGGGCGGGCGCGGAGGCGGCGCGGCGCGCACGGAACCCCCGGAGCGGAGCGGCAGCTGCGGCGCAAAGTTAGCCCAGCGCCCCGGGACGAGCCTCGCAGCCGCCGCCGGCCCCGGACCCCGTCTCGGCCATGGGCGAACACCCCAGCCCGGGCCCCGCGGTGGCCGCTTGCGCCGAGGCGGAGCGCATCGAGGAGCTGGAACCCGAGGCCGAGGAGGGGTTGCCCGCGGCGCCGGAGGACGTGAGTGCCCCCTTCCCGCTCGGCAAACTTTCTGGGGAAACCCGGGGGTAAAGCCACCCCCATCTCACCCCCCGCCGGGCAACTTGGAGGTTTCAAGGTGACGCGGGAGCGCCCCGGATTGGCCGGGTCCCGGCGGGCAGGAGGGGGCGGAGGGACCGGTCCCCCAAAACGCGCGCGCACCGTCTCCCCGGCTCGGGCTCCCGCGGCTTCCCTGCGGGACGCGGCTGCGCCGCGGACCTGTCGCCGCCGGAGCCCCCTCCCCGCCGCTGGTGCAGTGCCCGGGACACGGCGTTTTCCCGCAGAGGCAGCCGCGTCACAGCAGTGACTCCCCCTCCCCTCACGCCTGCGACCTGCGGGCTCGGGAGCTGGGGAAGGAGCGGACGCCGCAGAGTCCCGATCCCTGGCGGTGCAGGCCGGTTTGGCGACCCCCTCCTCCGCTCCAGGATTAGCTCCCGCCCCGCACCTGCCTTGTCACTGATTGAAATTCAAGCCGGCCCGCGTCTCTGACCCCGGCTGGAGCTGGGAGGGAAAGAGTGCTGTGAGCGGTTTAGCTCCCAGAGCGGGGTCCGGGAGTCCCAGACCGCGGTTGTGCCAGGGGACGGTCCCCTGCGCGCGCGCGCGAGGGGCTTCCCTGAGGGCTTCCCCGCCGTCTGCTGCTCGGGTCTCCATCCCTCCGGTCCTGCGGGCCGGCCTTGGGACCTGGAGTTTCTTGGGTTAACCTCCCGCTACAAATAATGGTGAAAACCCAGGCAGACACCCTGCCCTGCCCACCCCTCCCTCAGGGTGGGGAGATGGTAGTGAAACCAGGCCCCCAACCCACACAACCAAAGCGGGAGAGTCTGAATGGGGCTGGGGGGAGTTTACGATCTTCTCTCTTTGGCGTCTGCGGTTAAATCTATCACTTCCCTCTGGCCCTAAACAGCCCTGGTAGAATCTGATGTAGTCACCACTTAGACTCAGCCTTGGAAGAGAATGGGTGGGCTTCAGTGCATTCAGCAACCACCCCCCCAACAAAAACCAAAAAACCCCAAAAACCTGCAGGCAAAATGTTAGTGTTTATGCAGAGGTGAGTTCTCCTGTAGGGGTCTCTGGCCCCCAGCAGGTGAGACCCACTGCGGCAGGGTCTGATGGAATTGCACTTCCAAGCTCTTCCAGGGCTGGGAGTAGCTGTGGACATAAGCTTTAGGCAGCAGAAATTATTAGAGGCGCTTGGACATAGTTGGACGGCTTTATTTAGTAATTGTTGAGAATCACTTGTTCTGCCAGTTCCAGAACCAGCAACACCCACCTTGCTGCCTCCGCCCCCACCCCCACCCCATCCCTTACTGTGAGTTTTGTTCCTCTGCTCGGTGTGGACTCATTGGGGAGTTCCTCCCAGGGTTCCCCTGCTCTACTGTGGCCAGTCCCTGAGCTTGGTCATGACTCCTGGGCAGCCGCTGGGAGGCTATGTCAGAAACATTCTAGGACTGCAGAGACCTTGGTGATAAGTGTGTCTTTCTTTCTTTCTCTCCTCTTCCTCCTTTCCTGCATGGCCTTCCTCTCTGCCAGCACTGGAAAGTCCTGTTTGATCAGGTATGTGAGCAGTTAACCCCACCGCTTCCTTCCAGCCCTCCCTGAAATCGGTCTCAGTCTCCCTGCTTGTGTGGGCTTCCCTAGCTCTGTGCTCCTGAGATGGTGACGTGGGGTGGAGGTGTGGCTTCGTGCATCTCTGGGGCTGAACGACACTGCTCTCCAGGTATCAGGAGGAAGAGATGGGCTCCCCTGAGAGGATCTCCCTCCCGCCTCCTCCCTATTCTGCTGCACCAGAGCCGGGTTCACACCATATAAAAATTGGACGTTATACATTGAATACCTGGGAAATCCTTCGTATGCCTGAGGATTGCAGTAGGTGGCTGGAGAGGTGGGGGAAGGGCTTGGGCTGACAATCCCTCTCCCTTTCTATCTCCACTGTCGAGGGTCCATGACCACCACTGAAGTCAAATCTCTGCCATCCATGGGGGCTGACACAATATGGAACCTTTTGAAGCCTGATTCAATTTGTCTAATTCTATCATAGGGATGGGGGAGTGCTGGGAGGTTCCAGAGGGGAAATCGTATGTGATACTTTGCAATGCCTGGAGTCTAGGTGTAGGGAATGGAGTTGGGGGTGCCAAGTATTGGGTTTTGGATCTGGAGATGGACGTTTGACCTTCAGCAAGGAAACAGCTCTTTCCTCTTTGCTTAGCATTTGAAGTGGGTGGTGTTGTGTGCTTTCTTCCTGTTTGCCCAGTGTTGGGGGATAGTGAGTGTTGTGGCCTTTGGGTGAGATTGATTGCACCATGAAGTTTGTGCAACTTTAAGAAATTGGTTTGAGTGGGCCAGAGGGAATGTGTTGGATTGGAGAAGGAGATAAAGCTGAAAATTAACTTGAACCAGGTCTTCACTGTAGGCAGGGGAAGGCTTAGAAAGTTTTTTAGCAGATTTGTTATATGATCCAAGCCAGGCTTCAGAAAGCTCCATTGTCTTAGGGGTGAGGGGTGAGCGGGTGGCAGGGATGAGGGAAGCTACGGAAGAGCTGCAGCACTGAACAGAGGCAAGAAGGTGACAGTGAGGATGGACAGGAAGAGGGACATGGGGATGGAAGAATTGGAAGATCTTAATAGACCTACATAGATGAGGGGAACCACATATCTAACTTCGAGTTTCTGAACCTAGGAGGAAAAAAAAAGTCGGAGTGGGGCCAGGTTTGCTGACTCGCACCTGTAATCCCAACATTTTGGGAGGCTGAGGTGGGAGGATCACTTTGATCACTTCAGCACAGTAGTTCAAGACCAGCCTGGGCAGCAAAGTGAGACCTCATGTGGTTCCGGCTACATGGAAGACTGAGGCAGGAGGATTGCTTGAGCCCAGGGAGTAGAGGCTGCAGTGAGCCAGGACTGTGCTACTGCACTCCAACTCGGGTGACAGAGTGGGACCCTGTCTCAAAACAAACAAACAAAAAAACAAATTGAAGTGGGAGAGAGGTTGGCAACAATGACAACTTTGGTTTGAGACAAGTTCAGTTAGAGGAGCCAGCCGGTTCCAGATGCCCCAGTGGGAGTGGAGACCAGGAATTGCAGTGTGAAAGGCCTGGGGCGAGGATTTGGGGTTATGATCCATATCAACCACAAGACCTGGCTGCAATTTGAAGTTCAAAGCATGCACCAGCTCCTGTCCTGATGGGTGGAGGATCTCTCCCTCTAGCTCCTAGGAGTACAGCAGCTGCTGGCCTGACGCCCCGAGGCAGGAGGGAGTCCGCTGCGCCACTGCCACCACTACCACCAAGCTGCCAGCCCTTCACACCTCCTGCCAGATTTAGAATCAGAACCTAGAACAAAGTGTATCATTCTTTTTTTTTCTCTGTCTGTGTCTATCTTTCTCATTTGATTAATTTCCTTTGCCAGTCCCTGTGTGTACGTGTACATTTTGAAACAAACCATTTGGGTGAAAGAAAGAGAGCTTTTAGTAGGAAGAATTTGGAACTCAAGGGAGCAGAAAGAATGTGTAGCACCTAATATTAGCTACTGGCCTATGAAACCCAATTTTTTCAACTGAAGGCAGGTCCTGGGTGTCACAGAGAGCATACCCCTGCTTCTGGGAGGCCTGCCTAGAAATCATTCTGGACAAAGAAAATTCATTCTAGGAAAGAAATTAGGCCAGGCACAATGGCTAATGCCTGTCTGTAATCCCAGCATTTTGGGAGGCTGAGACAGGAGGATGGCCTCCCAAAAAGTGAGACCCTGTCTCAGAAAAAAGAAAAGTAAGCAACCCTGATAGATCAAACTGCAGTCATGGATGGGACATGACATTCATCAGAGTCCCTGTGAGCACATATGGCTCTGGAGTTCACCTTCCAGAAATCAATGGTATGGGAGGCTGGAACCATTCAGGCATCTCCTCCCTTCCTTCTTGGGTTAGTCAGACACCAGTGGTCACCCAGTTTCAAACTGGCATCTGCTAGGATCTGTTTTCCAGGAGTTAGGAATGGATTGGACCAGTCCCTGCATACTGTCTGGTTCTTCAGCATGTGGAGTATGCTTGATCTAGCATGATGCCAACTGGACCCCAAGGGCTAGAAGCCATGATGTTGACCTTGTTGGTTCTATGTGGTCACCCTTAAACTAAATGGCCAGGATGCCTTTTGTGGGAATTGGAGGTAAAGAAAGCAGGCGACCCCAGTCCCTTGGAAGCTTCCACATCCCTCTCCCTGGCATTCTGGCATTTGGCCCACTCGAGCAGGGGTGTAGTCGGGCCAGTCTATGCCACGCCTCCTCACTCCCCCGACTTCTTCCCCATGGGTCCCAGAACCTAAAGCAGGCAAGAGACCTGAAGGTCATCAGTTCAACCCACTATGTTCCATGTGTTCATTTCCTCTTCGAACTTCTTGAGGGAATCGTCTTTTCATATTTTTGGGATCTTGATGGTTTTCCTAAATATTTCAATAGATTTAAAATTTACCGCCAGGTGTGATGGCTCACTCCTGTAATCCCAGCACTTTGGGAGGCCGAGGCGGGTGGATCACCTGAGGTTGGGAGTTCGAGATCAGCCTAACCAACATGGGGAAACCCCATCTCTACTAAAAATACAAAATTAGCTAGGCGTGGTGGCGCATGCCTGTAATCCCAGCTATTCGGGAGGCTGAGGCAGGAGAATCACTTGAAC